ATTACATCATTACATAAGCTGTTTAGTTTTTCAATCATTATCCTGACACAACCAATTCACTTTTATTAGCAAAACACACCCATTCAGGAGAATGAGTTCACACTTAACGATCACATGATTCAGTCTTACAACCGTGGGATTTGCTAATGACCACCATAAAAATGGTCAAGAGGTGTCTTGACATGACTGTCACAACTTAACAGCCAAAATTTCAGTCCCAATTGCTGTTGTAATTTGAGAACTATCTGCATGTATTGTTTTATGTTTACATAGTTTAGAATCCTATTTAAATTATAGTATGTCGTAAGCCTGTCCTAAGTTGTGAGATAGTGAGATGGACAGCGCATGCATTTAATAAATGAAAAGAAAATGAAATTACAGTCGATGCAAAATAGCAACTTAGTTTCCAAAGATCAAAAAGTCCCTTGGAATTGAGCAGTTTATAAATGCAAATCTAAATAAATAAATAAATCTCATCCATGCAGAATTATGCTACGTAATCTTTCCAATCCAGGAATAATGAGCCCAGTCAAAGCCAAAAGTTAGCCTGCATTTCCATTTTTTAGAAAAATATTTTTTTTATTGGAAGTTTTAAAGAGAACCCCAAAACTCACACCAACTAGTACAAAATACAGAGAACAAGGAAAGAGAGAGAGAGAAAAGGAATAAGGAAAAAGGCCAGTGAGAAAGAATAAAAAGAAACGGGGGGAAAAGCTTCCCATTTTGTCTGCAGCAAATTTAAATGTAATTAAAAAAATGACCTCTTATTCTGTGATTATCAAAAAAGCTCAAAGCTTTTTCTATTCATTATTTTTTTCCTGATCATCAAAACCACAAAGGCCTTTTTTTTTTTTTTTTTGGTGATTTCATGCCAAAATAGTCTCTATACGGGTTTTCCAGCCATAAATGTAGAAAAATGAACATTTTTTTTCAGTCCAAAATTTAAACTGAATATCTTTTTTACTGATTCAATAAATTCTTATTTGTCTTTAAGCAGTAAGATATAAGTTACTAATTCACCCTCACAGGTAGTCCTTGACTTATAAGTTTGTTTAGTGACCGATCAAAATTACAACGGCACTGAAAATCGTGACTTATGACTGTTTTTCTCACTTACAACCATTGCAGCATCCACACGGTCACGTGATCAAAATTCAGCTCCTTGGCAACTGACTCGTATTTATGACGGTTGCAATGTTCCGGGGTCGTGTGGTCACCTTTTGCGACCTTATGACAAGTAAAATCAATGGGGGGAAGCCAGATCCACTTAACAACTGGGTTACTAACTTGTCAGCTGCAGTGATTCACTTAACAACCGGGTTACTAACTTGTCAGCTGCAGTGATTCACTTAACAACCGTGGCCGAAAAGTCATAAAACGGGGCAAAACTCCCTTAACAACTGTCTTGTTTAGCAACAAAAATTTTGGGCTTAATTATGGACATGTCAAGGTCTATATGTATATAGATTTCTTTAACATTTTATTATACTACATATTAACTTGTCTAAATCCACTCAAAGGTATTGCAGCTTTTTTTTTATTTTTTTAGTTTTATTTTATTCAAATACAAATAATACAAACATAACACATATAAATCTAAATAAAAAACAATATAAAAAAATACAAATACTACAGTGCACCCACACCCCTGGAGACCATTTGTATTACCTATATTTCTTCTCATATAACAACTAACAATATACAATATATTTCAATTGTGTCTTTATCCCCTCCAAAACAGCACATATCCTCGAGCAGGTTTATTCCCTTTGCCTTCCACCAAGACTGTTTTTATAAAATCATCTTATATTTCATTATAATTATTTACTTTAATCATCCCTTTTTTAAATTTAATTTCTGTTGTTAATTTATCATTTATTGCCACATTCCATATTTCATTATACCACCCATTTCTCTGAACATCCCAATTCCGTCTCCAATCACTAATCACTCCAACCATCACTAATCTATCTGCCATTATAATCAATTCCTTTTTTGCTTCATTTATATCTTGTTTTCCCACCAGTTCTCTAATTTCTCTAAACACCATGTCCCATATCTTTTGTGCACTAACACAATCCCACCACATATGTTCAGCTTTAAAAGGTTGACATACATCACGTCTTAAGTGAGATATCCAATAAACATGGAAAAATATTCATTTGTGAATTAGGCTGATCTTAAGAGCCACATTTGAATCCTCTCAAAACATGAGACCGCTGGATTCAATTCTCAAAGGTTTTTTGTAAAATGCTATTACCTACTGTCGTAATATTTTTGAGCTGTCTACAAAAACAATTTTGTCGTTTTAGAATCTAGCCAAATGTTTTCTACTTCCAGCAACCAATTTAAGAATCTCATAAGCCACTAATATATCACATCCAACTGAGAAGTTAAGAAATATTGTAATGGAATGTATGCTGTTCTACAGCAGATTTATGCTGTGCAAATTCTTCTTGCAACACATTAGTGACTGAAAATAATTATTAACAATAGATTAGCTAAGGGATCAGTGCTTTTCCCACCTAAGTTTGTCTAAAAGAAAAAAAAAGATTGTACCCTTTAAACTGGAATTAAGTCAATGTGTCAATTTTTCATATGAACTGGAATCAAATTTTAACGTTTGCCTCCAAATCTTCCAAAACTCTCTAGAAGCTGTTAAAGCTGGAAAAGCAAGTAGACCTCATGGAAACTTTTAAACATAGACGTATAGAAACTCTTTGACATAGAAGCTCTTCTATGGGGTCCTTGGTGCTCTCTGACCATAGTTGCCTTCTTGCAGTTGGCGGGAGGAGGAGGAGGAGGAGGAGGAGGAAAAGGAGGGGAATGACTGTGGGATCTTTGATGGTCTCTGAGCTTGGGAGTTTTCTTGCAGACATTTCATGACCCAACTAGGTAACATTCTCAGTACACGAAGGGAGCAGGTTTGTGGCGAGGAAGAGGAGGAGGTGGACTGCGAGGTCTTTGATGGTCTCTGAGCTTGGTGGTTTTCTTGCAGACATTTTAATATCCAACTAGGAAGAGAAGGACAAGGGGGGACATGATACCAGTATTCCAATATCTCAGGGGCTGCCATAAAGAAGAGGGAATTAAGCTATTTTCCAAAGCACCTGAAGGCAGGACAAGAAGCAACGGGTGGAAACTAATCAAGGAGAGAAGCAACCTAGAACTAAGGAGAAACTTCCTGACAGTGAGAACAATTAATCAGTGGAACACCTGCCTCCAGAAGCAGTAAATGCTCCAACACTGGAAGTTTTTAAGAAGAGACTGGACAGCCATTTGTCCGAAATGGTGTAGGGTTTCCTGCCTGAGCAGGGGGTTGGATTAGATGACCTCCAAGGTCCCTTCCAACTTTACTACTATTACATCATCCGTGCTATTGATAATAGTACTACTGATACTGGTAGCGCTGATGGTGTTCCCTAGTTGGGTCCTGAAACGTCTGCAAGAAAACCACCAAGCTCAAAGACGATCAAGACCCCCCAGTTTAACCCTGAGCTATAAATATTCCCTTCTATTGATAAATCTTCCAGCCATTCTTCAGCAATCACTTGAGGAGCAATGCTGTCCTTTTGGGGCCACTGCCTGTCCAGGGAAGCAACCCAACAGGTGGAGCCAGGATGGGGGTACCCAAATCAAGAAGCCAGATTCCCCAGGAAAAGCCCCTGTCCTTTTCATGGTTCCCCCTTCCCTCTTCTCTGCTCCCCTGTATTATGGCTGCTCTCCGTGACTGTGACATCACAGCTGAGGTAGACCTGGTGTTAGGCTGAGCTTGGAGGGCCATGAGCAGCCAGTAGTTGTTTGTTAGTAGAGTACAAAAGAGTCCCCCTTTTTATTTTCTTATCGGCTGAAGGTGGGGTGAAGGTGCATCTTTCACCCCGGAACCCCTTTTGATAGACAGCTAGAGAGTCGTAGAGAATTAGCTTGACGCCCAAGGCAGCATTCTTTGAGAGAGACCCTTCTGGAACCATGTTCATCTTTGCACATAAAACCGAAACTCCGCTCAGCACCTACACGGACTCCTATCGGGTGCCGGTGGTTAGGAAACACATCTATCAGGAGCCTTCTCTGCAACAATGGACCCCGAATGAGCATATCACAAAGGTAATCCGTTCCATCGATGAATCTCTAATAACAGAGTTGGGAGGGATCTTGTAGGTCATCTAGTCCAACCCCCTGCCTCACCCAAGCAGGAGACCCTACACTATTTCTGACAGTCTCTTCTTAAAAGCCTCCAGTGTTGAAGCTCCCACAACATCTGAAGACAATCTGTTCCATTGGTTGATTGTTCTCACTGTCGGGAAATTCTTCCTTATTTCCAGTTTAAATCTCTCCTTGATCAGTTTCCATCCGTTATTCCTTGTCTGGCTTTCAGGTGCTTTGGAAAACAGGTTGATCCCCTCCTCTCTGTGACAGCTCCTCAGATACTAGAACACTGCTGTCATGTCTTCCCTGGTCCTTCTCTTCACTAGACTAGCCATGCCCAGTTCCTGCAACCGTTCTTCATATGTTTTAGGCTCCAGACCCCTAATCATCTTTGTTGCTCTTCTCTGCACTTTTTCTAGAGTCTAAAAGCCATTTTCTAGGTCAGTGGTTCTCAACCTTTTTAATGCCACGACCCCCAACCGGTTGTAAGTCGAGGACTACTCAACTGGTGCAGCACCGTTTGCAGAATGGGACTTTTGGCGGGCTCAGCAGGGCAGAGACAGCCTGGACAATTCCTATTGGCTTTTGAAAGCCAAAAGAATTAGACTCTATTCAAGAGAGTCTATTCTATTGGCTTTCAAAAGCCAATAGAATAAAAGGGAATAGCACAGCTAAGGAAAAGGGGGGGAAAAATGGTGGACTGTGTTGTTTGGCGACCCCCGTGAAATGGTCGTTCGATCCCAAATGGGGTCCCGACCCACAGGTTGAGAACCACTGTTCTAGGTTCTCACAATTCACTAAACCAGGGGTAGGCAACCTTGGCTCTTTTATGACTCGTGGACTTCAATTCCCAGAATTACTGAGTCAGCATAGCTGACAATGCAGTAAACTACAAGAAGCCAATTAATTATTAACCAATCTTAGCCAGGTGAGTGTTTGCATCTGCACGATATTTTCCTCATCCGTGCAAATACAGCCATTCATTTAGTGACCGTTCAAAGTCACAGTGCCTCTGAAAAAAATAACTTGTGTCAGGTCCTCACACTTACAACCGCCTCGGCATTCCCCCCCCCAGTCACATGATCAAACTTTCCGTTTTGGGCAACTGGCTTTTTTTTTATGATGGTTGTAGCATCCTGATGTCAAGTGATCGCCATTTTGCAACCTTCCCTTCTGGCTTCCGGCAAGCAAAGTCAATGGGGGAAAAGTCAAATTCACTTAACGATGACACAATTCACTTAATGACTGCAGTGATTGGCTTAACAACCATGGCAAAGCAGGCTGCAAAATCAGGCAGGGCTCGTTAAACTCAGTTAACAATGGCTTAGGGATGGAAATTTCAACCTCAATCAAGTTAAGTTGAGGCCTATCTCTCCCTCTTGCTGGCTCGTGTGCTGCATGCATGTCAAGATCTGGCTGTGTAAAGAGGCACAGAGTTAACCTTGGAGAAACCACGCATAGATGGTTACTACAACACCCAGCCAAACATACTCTAAGCCAAGGAAACAAGCCTTAGCTCCACCCTAACTCCCTGGGGTATAAGAGGAACTGACGGGGAAAACACACTCATGAGCTTTCAAAGTTCTGTTACTACAAGCAGGCAGTTCCTTTCAAAAAATGTAGAGTTGGTTTTCCTGATCTTTGCTCCCTCGAAGAGTTGACAGCCGCGTCACAACTGTGAGTCTCCTAGCAATCTTTCTTTCATGGAGGACAGCTTTGCTTTATGGATCCCTCTGGAGTTGAGAGTCCTTCCCAGGGCCCTGGAGAGGTTGTGAAGATAGAAGTACGGGGTCCTTGGTGCCCCTCTGAGCTTGGCGGTTTTCTTGCAGACCCAACTAGGTGACATCATTAGCTCTCAAAGGGAGAGGGGTTTGCAGAGAGGAGGAGGAGGAGGAGACTGAGGTCCTTGGAGCTCTCTGAACTTCGTTGCTTTTTTGCAGATGTTTCAGGAATAGAGTAGAATAGAATAGAATAGAATAGAATAGAATAGAATAGAATAGAATAGAATAGAATAGAATGGAATGGAATGGAATGGAATGGAATGGAATGGAGTGGAGTGGAGTGGAGTGGAGTGGAGTGGAGTGGAATAGAATAGAATAGAATGAATAGATGGAATATGAAGAATAGAATAGAATAGAATAGAATAGAATAGAATAGAATAGAATAGAATAGAATAGAATAGAATAGAATAGAATAGAATAGAATAGAATAGAAAATATGGAATGGAATAGAATAGAATAGAATAGAATAGAATAGAATAGAATAGAATAGAATAGAATAGAATAGAATAGAATAGAATAGAATAGAATAGAATAGGACAGAAATGGGACAGGAAGGATAGAATAGAATAGAATAGAATAGAATAGAATAGAATAGAATAGAATAGAATAGAATAGAATAGAATAGAATAGAATGGGACAGGAATGGGACAGGAATGGGACAAGGATAGGATAGGATAGGATAGGATAGGATAGGATAGGATAGGATAGGATAGGATAGGATAGAATAGAATAGAATAGAATAGAATAGAATCTGGAAGGGACCTTAAAGGTCTTCTAGTCCAGCCCCCTGCTCAAGCAGGAGAATCTATACGATTTCAGACAAGTGACAGTCCAGCCTCTTCTTAAAAACCTCCAGTGATGGAGCACCCACAATTTCTGAAGGTCAGCTGTTCCACTGGTTAATACAAGCTGTTCCACTAGCTCACGGGTGTCAAATTTGATTATGTCACGTGACATACCGTGATGTTTATTGCCTTTGCGGAGCCAGGGTGGGCATGGCCTGCGTGTGATGCATCCAGCCCACAGTCCGCCAGTTTATCACCTCTGCACTAGCTGTTCCACTAGGTGACATCATCAGTACTAGAAGGAAGTGGTGTTTGTGGAGAGGAGGAGGAGGAGGACACTGTGAGGTCCTTGGTGCTCTCTGAGCTTGGTTGTTTTCTTGCAGAGAGGGTGGGACCGAGCAAGCAGAATTCTGGGAGTTGAAGTCCACACATGGTGGCTGGGGAATTCTGGGAGTTGAAGCCCAAGCTTACATTAGATTGAGCAAGGTTGAGAAACACTGGAGTAGATAAACTTTGTGACCTGCCAACTCTACAATTCTACATGTCTACATTTCCCACTTTAGCAGTTGTCAATGCAGAAGTGATTCCTCCAAGGCAGGGGTCTTCAGACTTGGCCCTTTGATGACTTGTGGACTTCCACTCCCAGAATTCCTCAGCTAGGCACGCTGGCTGAGGAATTCTGGGAGTTGAAGGCCACAAGTCATCAAAGGGCCAAGTTTGAAGACCCCTGATCCAAGGCTACCCAAAGCCTTCCTCCACATCTCCACAAATTGACCTGCTCTCCTTCCTCTCCGCAGGGCTTGACCGTGCCCAAAGTGGACCATCCGATTGACCAAGCCCACCTGGAGAAGATGGTGAAAAGGGCAGTCCAGGAGTATTCCTACAAGAATTCGATAGAACCAACAGCCTACCGGCCGTACAAGTATTGGGTGTCCCGTGAAGAAGGTACTTGAGTTGTCCTCAACTCCTTCTCTTTGACTCTGCTACACTGTGGTAGAGGTAGTCCTCCACTTATGACCATAACTGGGAACAGAATTTCTATTGTTAAGCAAAGTGTCAACCCAACTTAAAGCTTGCTGGTTGGTGAATTCTGGAAACTGAAACCCACCCATATTTTTGTTAACAAAATTTTATTAAATTTATATAGGTAAGGAAAAATAGGAAAAATACAGGTATGGCAAAGGGAAGGGTAAAAAGGAAAGGGAGAGGGGAAGGAAATAAGGGATTAGGGTAAAATAAGGACAGGTACAATCACATATTTCAACAAACAAACAACTGTCTGGTTCATAATAATGAGTAAGTATCATATTCAACCATTTTTAACAAAGCTTAAACTGTAACATATTAAAAATAATTAGTAAACAAATAGGTTATAGGTTGATCTATTAAGTGAACACTACTAATAAAATCACAAAAAAAATAAAATAAAATAAAAAAATAAATCCTAACAATCAAAAATAACAAATGAAAATCAGTAAGTCAGGAAAAGTAATCGTATCATCAAAATGTTAGTTAGAACTCGATTAAAAATCAGTCATCTATTCTAAAATATTAAATCCTTCAAGTTCTAACGTGTCTCTAACCATTGATAAAAATTTTCCCAAGTTCTAAAATAAATTGAATCCTCTTTTTCTTTCATTTCTAATGTTAGCCTATCCATTTCTGCACACTCTAGAATTTTGGTAATAATAATAATCTGGTCAGATGGTAGATTCTCATTTTTCCAAAATTGGGCAAATACCATCCTTGCTGCAGTTCAAACATGCAATATCAAGTTGTCATTCTCTTTACCATAATTAGGTCTTGATATTCCTAACAAAAACAATTCTGGTTTAAATTCTATTTGTAGTTTCATCATTTTTTCCAACCATCTATGGATCTTAGACCAATATTTCTTAGCAATAGGGCACGTCCACCAGGCATGGTAATAAGTGCCTGGCTGTTGTGAAACCCACCCATCTTAAAGCTTGCTGCCTGGGGAATTCTGGGAATTGAAGTCCACCCATCTTAAAGCATGCCAGCTGGGGAACTCTGGGAGTTGAAGTCCTCCCATCTTAGTTGCCAGGTTTGAAACACTGATGTAAATATTTGACCTCCGCAATCTCGGTATCCCTTGTTCATTTCTACCTGTTAGCTGGGCACCCCTGGGAGGGACATCTCCTTCCAGCTATAGAAATGGCAGAGAGCCCACCAACTTCCTCCCATTCTGGTAGTTTACCTGTCAGTGCAAAACCTGCTGAATCATTTTAATGTCTCACAATGTCCAAGATCAGAACCGTTGCAGGAGAAGACAAGCAAGCTTGCGCCAACTCAGTTGATACTGCCTGAAGAGCGGGACTGGAAATAAAACATTAGAAATGGAGCCAGAATAACCAGAATTATTTCTTTTGGGCATAATAAATTTAAAGATGGAAAAACAACGCCAACGTATCATTATACCCATGTTGACTGCCGCTCGTATAGCATATGCTCAATGTTGGAAGAGTGAAAATATTCCCACAAATGATATGATTATGTGCAAAATCTTAGAATGCGCAGAAATGAATAAACTTATGTTAGAATTAAAAGACAAGGAGGCGACAGAATTTTATGAAATTTGGAATAAATGTTAGAATTAAAAGACAAGGAGGCGACAGAATTTTATGAAATTTGGAATAAATGTTATAATTGGCTAGAACAGAGAAAGGAAAAGACATAATTATTGATGTACATAAAATGTAAATAAGATGTAAAGAATGCTTAAAACGTATAGTACTGTTCTGTTAAAAGAAAAGATTTATGTTTAGGTATTTTAAGTTTGTTTGGGTGTATGATGTATGGTGAAAAATAATTAAAAAAATTTTTTTTAAAAGAAATGGAGCTCTCTAAACAACACAGCTCAACTTACAAAGGTTCATTTAGTGACTGTTCAAAGTCACAACGGCACTGAAAAAAGGGACTTACGACCATTTTTCACACTTACGACCATTTATGACGGTCGCAATGTCCTGGGGTCAAGTGTTCTGCTTTTGCGAACTTCTGACCAGCAAAGTCCATGGGGGAAGCCAGATTCACTTATCCACTGTGTTACTAACTTAACAGCTGCAGTGGTTCACTTAACAACTGAGGCAAGAAAGGTTGTAAAATGGGGCAAACCTCACTTAACAAATGCTTCATTTAGCAACACAAATTTTGGGCTCAATTGTGGTCATAACTCAAGGACTCCCTGTATATAAAGGATTCCTCTTGGCCAATCTGCCTAAGGGAAATGGCATAGAGCAGGGATGGGCAACTAGGGCCCCTTTACGACCTGTGCACTTCAACTCCCAGAATTCTGATGCTAGCTGGGGAATTCTGGGAGTTGAAGTCCACAGGTTGTAAAGGGGCTGTAGCTGCCCACCGCTGGCATAAACCTCATACCTGCAGTTTTCTGGCCTGGCCAGATGTTGGGGGTCTTCTCCCCTTGTGAGAATTCACAGCTAAAAGTGATTTCTCAGCGTTTGTCACCCTAATAAATTTGGATAGTGGAGCAAACCCTACACCAGGGGTAGGCAACCGTGGCTCTTTTATGACTCGTGGACTTCAACTCCCAGAATTCCTGAGCCAGCCACGCTGAGGGGAAAGGGAGAGGTTTCCAAGCTGAGCCATGCTGGCTCAGGAATTCTGGGAGTTGAAGTCCATGATCATAAAAGAGCCAAGGTTGCCTACCCCTGCCCTACACAGTTTTCATTATTGCACCGATTAATGAATCCTGAGTCATGTAACTCGGATACACAATGCGATGAATCAATTCGATGCTAGTCTGTTTGAATTGCTCCTGACATTTCAAAGTCTGTTGTCGTGAAACATTTGGGGGCAATCTTCATCTACTTTTAGTAGCCAAAAGATGAAAAAAACAGGCTTCCTTAGCTAAAAAAGTAGAAGAAAACACAAATAACAAGCAGCCCTTGACTTACAACCATTTGTTTAGTGACTATTTAAAGTTACAACAGCACTGAAAAAAAGGGACTTACTGTAGAACTGTTCTTCACACTTGTGATCTTTGCAGCATCCCCGTGGTCACGTGATCAAAATCTGGACATTTGGCAACTGGCTTGTGTTTGTGACGGTCGCAGTGTCCCAGGGTCACATGATCCCCTTTTGCGATCTTATGACAAGTAAAGTCAACGGGGAAGCCAGCTACGTTAACAATCGTGTTACTAGCTTAATTGCAGTGATTCACTTAACAACTGTGGCAAGAAAGGTCATAAAGTGGGGCAAAGCTGACTTAACAACACTTAGCAACAAAGAGAATAACAGAGTTGGAAGAGATCTTGGAGGTCTTCTAGTCCAACCCCCTGCTCAAGCAGGAAACCTTACACCAGTGGTCCCCAACCTTTGTAGCTTGGTGGCCCGATTGGTGGGAGGGGAGAGGGGAACCAGGTCACATGAGTGGTGAGCTAGCACTCACACGCATAGCTCCACTCATGCAAGGCCACACTTGGAATACTACATTCAGTTTTGGTCACCACTATGTAAAAAAGATGTTGAGACTCTAGAAAGAGTAAAGAGAAGAGCAACAAAGATGATTATTAGGGGACTGGAAGCTAAAACATATAAGGAACAGTTGCTGGAATTGGGTATGTCTAGTCCAGGAGTCGGCAACCTTGGCTCTTTTATGACTCATGGACTTCAATTTCCAGAATCTTGAGCCAGCATGGCTGGCTTAGGAATTCTGGGAGCTGAAGTCCACGAGTCATAAAAGAGTCAAGGTTGCCTACCCCTGGACTAGTTTAATGAAGAGAAGGACGAGGGGAGACAGGATAGCAGCCTTCCAATATCTCAGGGGCTGCCCCAAAGAAGAGGGAGTCAAGCTATTCTCCAAAGCGCCTGAAGGCAGGACAAGAAGCAACGGATGGAAACTGATCAAGGAGCGAAGTAACCTAGAACTAAGGAGAAACTTCCTGACAGTGAGAACAATTAACCAGTGGAACAACCTGCCTCTAGAAGTGGTGAATGCTCCAACACTGGAAGTTTTTAAGAAGAGACTGGACAGCCATTTGTCTGAAATGGTATAGGGTTTCCTACCTGAGCAGGGGGTTGGACTAGATGACCTCCAAGGTCCCTTTCAACATGATGATGATGATGATGATGAAGTTTTTTGGGCGCTGCTCACACAAGTGGGGCTGCACGTGTGCCAGCCTGCCCCTTACATGGCCCGGTTGCAAATAAGCAACAGCCTGGTAGTGGGCTGCAACCCACACATTGGGAACCCCTGCCTTATACCATTCCAGACAAATAATTGTCCAATTTTCAATTGCAGTCGTAAGTCAAGGACTACCTGCATGCCCTACGTCTTCTTGGCAGTTAGGAAGACCCAAAGCATTATGGAGGCGGTTGATTGAGTAGTAACAGATCCCATCTTCCCCACTCCGCTCTCGCCCTCCCCATGTGTCTTTGGTTTTAATGTCTTTTTATGTTTTTAACTGTATATGTGCTGTAATTATGATAAGATGGGCAGCCAATAAATTTTATAAACCAATCAACACACATATAATTCCACCCTGCCCTCAAGAACCTGGGTGCCACCCCCACCAACCCCCTTCCCCTTGGGGTCTCCCCATTGGTTTCCTGAAAACCCTCCATTGTTTTCCAAACCCAGAAAAATTCAACCCGGTGTTCATCGGCAACGACAGATACGCAACCTGGCGGACTGGGCCGTACAACAGCGCAGCCTGGAACCGATACACCACGTACCTGCCACGGATCCCCAGGGTAAGCCATGCCACGCCAGGGCTGGTTTTTTCTTTCTTTCTTTCTTTCTTTCTTTCTTTCTTTCTTTCTTTCTTTCTTTCTTTCTTTCTTTCTTTCTTCCTTCCTTTCCTTTCCTTTCCTTTCCTTTCTTAAATATGTTTTATTGATTTTTAACATACACCTTAATATTTGGTAAACATTGTGTTGTCTGGTTTAGTATTTAAAAAACAATCAATAACAATTAATTTCTATAACTCTATAATCCATGTAATAACTTTACCTGATTTCCTCTTCTTCCAATAATATTCTCTTTAGCCAACCTTAAATTAATACAGTTCTTATTTAAATACATGACAATTAAACATAAACATGTTTCTGCAAATAATAACCACATCAGTATAAAGCTTCTTTTCACTGATCATCTTGATTGCCTCATCATAAACCCCGTTTACATTCTTATTTAAATTTGTTTTCCCCCCAGTATTTAAAACATTCTTATTGGTTAAGATTTTCTCAAAATTAGTTGCACCTAAGTATTTAAATCTTTTTTCTCATACAAGCCATCACATTTTTACATTTCTCATACCTTAAAAGAAAATAAAAGCAAAAAGAAAAAAGACAAAACAGAGAAAACATTTCTTTTATTCTAACCTAATCAAAAAGTGGTCAAGGAAGCAGTTAGCAGGCTAGTATAGATAGTCCTCGACTTACCAGTGTTTGTTTATTGATGGTTTATTGTTTATTGACCGTTCAAAGTTAAAACAGCACTGAAACAATTGACTTATGACAATTTTTCACACTTACGACCTTTGCAGCATGGTCATGTGATCAAAATTCAGACGCTTGGCAACTGGTTCATATTTATGATGGTCGCAGTGTCCCGGGTTCACGTGATCTCCTTTTGCGACCTTCTGACAAGCAAAGTCAATGGGGAAGGCAGATTCACTTAACAAACGTGTTCCTAACTCAACAACTGCAGGGCTTCACTTAACAACAGTGGCAAGAAAGGTTGTAAAACGGAGCAAAATTCACTTAGTAACGGTCTTGCTCAGCCATGGAAATTTTGGGCACAGTTGTGGTTGTAAGTCAAGGACGACCTGCATTCTGTTTTAGAGCTCTGATTTAATTGCTGATATATTTTGTTTGCAAACTACCCCAGAACTCCTTACATTTGAGGAATGGGACATGCAATTTTTAATGACATCACATTTTGAAAATGGAATGAAAAGATGGGTGGATGGATGGAGAATGGATGTCCTTGTAGCAGATAAAAACTCACTGTGGTCATCAATCTTCTGCCTGGAATTCGTTAAGTCAGTAACACAGTTGTTAACTGAATTTATTTATTTATTTATTTATTTATTTATTTATTTATTTATGAGACTTATATACCGCTTCAAGTGCAAGCACTCTCTATGCGGTGTACACCAGTAAGCAATGTATATATATATATATATTTACATTGCCCCCAACAATCTGGGTCCTCATTTTACCTACCCCGGAAGGGATGGAAGGCTGAGTCAACCTTGAGCCGGTGAGATTTGAACCGCTGACCTGCTGAACACAGTCAGCTAAAGTGGCCTGCAGTACTGCACTCTAACTGCTGCACCACCTCGGCTCAATTTGGCTTCCCCATAGACCCCATGCTCACTTAACAACCATTGCAAAAAAGGTTGTTAAAGGTCATGTGAGTGACTTGTTTTACAACCATCCTGACTTTTGGTCATAATTGCCAGGCTCCATTATGGTCAAAATAATGAGGGCTACTTTGTATTAGATTTCAGAAAAAGTGGTTGCATTCTGTTGGAATACATGGTTGGAATGTATTTTTGTGTAAACTACAGTGGTATTCAGCCAGTAGATGGCAGTGTTTACAAGTTTGAATCTATAGTATGTATACTCTCTGTCCTTTTGTTCTAGTAGAGTTTCCTCTTTCCTGTTAAGTAGTAAAGCACATGGTGACTGTGCATGTTATTTGATTTATGCTATAAATAAACAGAACTTCTAACACATTCACAGGGAATCAATGATAAAAGCAGAAATGTAAGGAGAAATCAGTGATGTGGGTGTTTGTGTGTGTGTGTGTGTGTGTGTGTGTGTGTGTGTGTGTGTGTGTGATCGCTGAATTGAAGCATTTGGTTTCCATTCTTGAGTCAGAAAATTGCTCAAGCAGTAAATTCACTTCTATCACTGATTTGTCTCCACTGCTCATCCCTGTAGCTCCCAGGAGTGCTCACTGGATGTGATGCGATGATGTGTCGGCCCTCTTTACTTTTTTGACCACACCAGGTAGCCCTTGACCTACGACCACAAATGAGCCCAAAATTTCTGTTATTGAGTGAGACATTTGTCAACTGAATTTTGCCCCATTTTACAACTTTTCTTGCCTCAGTTGTTTGTGAATGACTGCAGTTGACAAGTTAGTGTTGAAGGAAAAGTTTTCATCATGGTTCAGTCCAAGCCGGGAAAAAAACAATATGGTGACTGCTTTAGAAAGAAGATTGCAGTTTATTGAAAAGGAGAGCCAGAGAGAAAGATGGCTCTGGAAGAAAAGAGAGAGAGAACATGTAGGGAGTGGGTTTTTATACCCTCTGGCACTCTTGAGGTTGTTTCCTGTTCCTGTTTGAGGCTTTGTATTTCCTGTGTCCCTTTGGCATCTGTGGGTTAATCCTATTATATCCTGTCTTAGAGTTTGGGTGGGGTATGTAGATTTTAGGTGTCTTTGTTTTCCTAAGCTTCTAGCTGGAGGGCTCCAAACTTCCTGAATGGATTATTACATCTGCATTTCTACAGAGCTGGTTTCTGCTTGGGGGAGGGAGACCTGGGGCTATTAAGAAAAACTGGACATGCTTTTCTGCCTCTTTAAGATCCTTTGAGGAAATATAATATTTTGTCCTTTTAATATTTCCTTCTCTGGGGGGGCTGACTTCCCATATTAGTAACCTGGTTAAGTGAATTCGGCCTCCCCATTGACTTTGCTTGTCAGAGAGTTGTAAAATGTAAAATCATATGACCCTGGGACACTGCAACAGTCATAAATATGAGCCAGTTACCAAGTGTCTAAATTCTGAACATGTGACCATGGAGATGCTGCAACGGTCATGTAAAAAATGGTCATGAGTCACTTTTTTCAATGCCGCTGTAACTTTGAATGGTCACTAAATCAACTCTTGTAAGTCGAGGACTACCCTGTACTCCTTTCCAAGATAACTGGGGACAAAACGTGGTGTCGTTGAGACCCCCTCATGGCTGCCACTTGGTAGAGCATCTAAAGCAGGGGTAGTCAACCTTTGCTCTTTTATGACTCGTGGACTTCAACTCCCAGAATTCCTGAGCCAGGTAAGCTGGCTCAGGAATTCTGGGAGTTGAAGTCCACGAGTCATAAAAGAGCAAAGGTTGACTACCCTTGATCTAAAGCAGTGGTTCTCAACCTGTGGGTCGGGACCCCATTTGGGGTCGAACGACCATTTCACGGGGGTCGCCAAATAATACAGTCTGCCATTTTTTCCCCCTTTTCCTTAGCTGTGCTACTCCCTTTTATTCTATTGGCCTTTGAAAGCCAATAGAATAGACTCTCTTGAATAGAGTCTAATTCTATTGGCTTTCAAAAGCCAATAGGAATTGTCCAGACTTTCTTTGCCCTGCTGAGCCCGCCAAAAATTCCATTCTGCAAACGATGCTGTACCAGTTGAGTAGTCCACGACTTACAACCGGTTGAGTGGTCCTCGACTTACAACCGGTTGGGGGTCGCGGCACTAAAAAGGTTGAGAACCACTGATCTAAAGCAAGACTTACCTATTGCAAACTTGTCTTTTAGGAAGCTGGCATGGATGCCATTCTGCGCGGGATGCCCATGGAGTACCCGCCAAAGCCTGAGCGACTCAACAATTACGGTACCTCTTCTTGAAGCTTCCCTTCCTCACCCCAGTGTAGGCATAAGACAGCTGTCCAATTTGGCTGACAAGGGGCACTCTGAGCTTGGTTCTTTTCTTGCAGACATTTCATTACCCAATTAGGTAACATCATCAGTGCCAGAAGGGAGTGGGGTTTGCTTTCTGCTTATATACAAGCCCCTTCTAGCAGTGATGATGTTACCTAGTTGGGTGATGAGACGTCCGCACAAGAAAACAACCAAGATCAGAAAGCACCCGCCACAGTCTCTTCCTCCTCCTCCTCCCCCTTCCTTCCCCTCCCCCTTCCTTCCCCTCCTCCTCCCCCCCTCTCCTCCTCCTCCTCTTTTTCAATCCCCTCTCCTTTATTGGTAATCTTAGAATATAGTTGTGAAGCCTTGAGCCTCCATGGTTGCTATCACTTCAGGTTGGGTGAGTTAGGGGACACGAGGCTAAAATATATGAAGAACGGTTGCAGGAATTGGGTATGTGTCCTCTAATAAAAAGCAGGACCAGGAGTGACATGTTAGCAGCTTTCCAGTATCTGAGTGGCTGCCACAAAGAAGAGGGGGGGTCAACCTGTTCTCCAAAGAACCTGAAGGCAGGACAAGAAGCAACCCGTGGAAACTAAGGAGAAATTGCCTGCAGAACAATGAACCAATGGAACAGCTTGCCTCCAGAAGTTGTGGGTGCTCCATCACTGGAAGATTTTAAGAAGAGACTGGACAGCCATTTGTCCAGAATGTACAGGGTCTCCTGCTTGAGCAGTGGGTTGGATTAGAACAGTGGTTCTCAACCTTTTTAATGCCGCGACCCCCAACTGGTCGTACGTCGAGGACTACTCAACTGGTTGTAAGTTGAGGACTACTCAACTGGTGCAGCACCGTTTGCAGAATGGGACTTTTGGCGGGCTCAGCAGGGCAGAGACAGCCTGGACAATTCCTATTGGCTTTTGAAAGCCAATAGAATTAGACTCTATTCAAGAGAGTCTATTCTATTGGCTTTTGAAAGCCAATAGAATAAAAGGGAGTAGCACAGCTAAGGAAAAGGGGGGGGGAATGGCGAAGTGTGTTGTTTGGCGACCCCCGTGAAATGGTCGTTCGACCCCAAATGGGGTCCCGACCCACAGGTTGAGAACCACTGGATTAGAAGATCTCCAAGGTCCCTTCCAACTCTGTCATTCTGTTATTCTGAATGTTGTTTTTTCAAATTTTGCATTCTGAAAAGGGGTGCTTCCTGAGTCAATCGAACAGAATACAACTGGAAGGGATCTTGGGGGTCTTCTAGTTCAACCCCCTGCACTAGCAGGAAACCCTGTGCCATTTCAGACAAAAGGTCCTCCAATCTCTTCTTAAAAATCTCCACCGATGAAGCACCCACAACTTCTGGAGGCAAGTCGTTCCACTGGTTAATTGTTCTCACTCTTAGGAAGTTTCTCCTTAATCTCAGGTTGCTTCTTGAACCCGCTGAGGTTGGCCTTGAACCCGCTGCCAATGGGCCAACCAACCCAAAGCTCTGCCCTCTAGCTGTCCTCTCTTTCTGGCTCCTTTTCTCCAGAACGGGAAGTTGTGGTCAACATGTTGAACAGCTTGTCTCGGAAGCAGCTTCCATACGTCCGGCATCACTATCCCGTCCCGGGCCGGATGCCCTACCAAGGCTACTACAGCCCCTGCACTGGACGCCATTACTGCTTGCGTGGAATGGATTACTACGTGGACGGAGCCCCCACCAACGAGAGGCAGATCAGCCAGCTAGTTGAGAAGATTGTAAGGTTCGGAGGGTTTGGTTCTGCAGGCTCTCTTCCTCCAACTCCTCCAGGGGGGGGTGTTCTCTTGGGGGTGGGCTCAGGGGCTCAGACAGACCAGTGGGGCACCACAGGTTTCCTAGGGTCTGGGCATAACGCCACCCTAGAGTTATAGTTAGGGTCCTTCATGTGGAGACTGCAAGCTGGAGAGCGACCAACTTTGGTGAGGTTCTTTCCTGTTCTTCTTGAGGCGTCCCCCTCAGGCAGAAGTCTCCAAACTTGACAACTTTAACACTTGTGGACTTCTACTCCAGAATTCCTCAGCCAACATGATTGGCTGAGGAATTCTGGGAGTTGAAGTCCACAAGTCTTAAAGCTGCCAAATTTGGAGAGCCCGCCTTAAGGTCCCAGGGTAGTTTTTCTTGACCTCAGCAATTTTATGATGGGTAGACTTGGTGGCTGGGGAATTCTGGAAATTCAAATCCACTCATTTTAAAGCAGGCTGGCTGGGGAATTCCGAGACTTGAAGTCCATCAATCTTAAATCATTCTGGGAATTAAAATCCACCCATCTTAAAGCACGCTGGCTGGGGGATTCTGGGAACTGGAGTCCACCGCTCTTAAAACATGCTAGCGGAGGAATTCTAGGTGTTGATGTCCACCCATCTTAAAGTTGCTGAAGTTGAGAAATGCTGGCCCAGAGCATCAGCCCTCCTGCTCTTCTTTCTTCAGAATTAGCCTTCCAACTGCCTGAACATGTCTTCACCAACAGTGGAGGTCAGCATTGATCTTCCATTGATGGAAGGAGGAGAAAATTCCTGCTACAGAAGCCCTGTAGCCAGCTGTCCCTGGGGTGAGAGCTTCTTCTTTGGGGAGAGGAGAAGGAGGAGGAGGAGGAGGAGGAGGAGGAGGAGGAGGAGGAGGAGGAGGAGGAGGAGGAGGAGGGGGGGGCATTAAATCTCCTAAGCTGCTCCATTAGCAAATTTTGAAAAATGGTTTACAGCAGGGGTCTTCAAACTTGGCCCTTTTATGACTTGTGGACTTCAACTCCCAGAATTCCTCAGCCAGGCACGCGTGCCTGGCTGAGGAATTCTGGGAGTTGAAGTCCACAAGTCATAAAAGGACCATGTTTGAAGACCCCTGGTTTACAGCAATGGGCTCCATCTCCAAATGCCAATTGACCCATCAAAGATTTTAAGGGAACGTCCACATGGATGCAAAGAAAGCTCCAGGAGTGAACCCATAACCCACAACCTTAATTGCTAAATAGCAACCATGTATACTTTAAATAAAAGATTAATGGGGTAGGAGATTTCATTAGAACCATGCTGGCTGGGGACTTCTGGGAGTTGAAGTCCACATATCTTGAATATGCTAAGGTTGAAGAACACTTCTGTATAATGTGGTCATCTTTCCCTCCTACACACATGTACACACACACATATACACATACACATACAGAGAGAGAAAGAGAGACAGGGAGAGATGGGGAGAGAAAAAGAGAGAGAGAAACAGAGATGGGGAGAGAGAGATGGGGAAAGATGGAGAGAGATAGATGGAAAGAGATGGGAAGAGAGATGGAAAGAGATGAGGAGAGATGGAGAGGGAGGGAGAGAGAGGAAAAGAGGGAGGGAGACAGAGAGAGAGGGAGGGGGAGGGGAAAGGGAGAGGGAGAGAGAGAGGGAGGGAGAGAGAGAGAGAGAGAGAAAGAAAGAAAGAGAAAGAGAAAGAGAGAGAGAGAGACTAACATTTAGCACTGGAGGAAAATCCCTATGCTAATGGGGACTTAAATATACAAATGTTAATTTTTTTCACCAACACCACAAAGAACGGCAGGTATTCTGTGTTTAGCTCGTCTGCAGAGCAATCAGTCTTAACTTTTAAAATGTTGTTTAAAAATTAACTTAAAAGTCTATATTTTAGAGCTGCTAAGTTAACTATGTCCATTAGCCAATCAGTTCCAAAGTCTGCATCGTGCCTGTCTAAGCAGGACATACCTTATCAAGGGTGAGACTAGAGGAAGGGAACTCTAGAATGGCCACAAAGGGATAAGATATTCTGGCATTCTTGGAAGAATGAGGAATGTCATCCTGTGAGTAAGTTTTGGGAGAGTGACAAAATTCAGAAATACTTCAGGAAGGCATTTGATAAAGTAGACCACTTCTATCTTACTTCTTGGTAAGATAGAAAACAAATGTGGGATAGGCAGCAGCTCTGTTATTCTGATCAATACTTTTGTTTTTATAGAGGGAGGGGGCCCACAAAGACAAAAATGTACAGGGCCCTCAGAAGTAACAATGTGGCCTGCTGTTGCCAAACACAGCTTCATGTCCACTTCAAAAATGTATAGCTAGTACTGTGAGAACAATTAATCAGGGTGAGAACAATTAGCCAGTGGAACAGCTTGCCTCCAGAAATTATGGGTGCTCCATCACTGAAGGTTTTCAAGAAGACACTAGACCCATGGTGGCGAACCTATGGCACACGTGCCAGAGGTGGCACGCAGAGCCCTCTCTGTGGGCACACGCGCCATCACCCCAGTCCTAGGCCTTCAGCTGGGTTTTATAAAACCTTTTCGCTTTAGGCCTCTGCTACTGTGTGCAAAAAAAAAAAAAAGGTTCAATCAATCAATCAATTTCAACTCGCAGGGAAAAAAAAGATCCCGCAAAGTTGGAATTGATTGATTGAACTTTTTAGTCCCACCCAGTCTGCCGTTACCACCGCAGCCACGCCCACCCAATGGGCCATGCCCACCCAATGGGCCACACCCACCCAATGGGCCACGCCCACCCAGCACCCGACAATACATAAGTGGGTTTTGGGTTGCAGTTTGGGCACTCGGTCTCTAAAAGGTTCGCCATCACTGCACTAGACACAGCCATTTGTCTGGGATGGTCTAGGGTCGCCTGCTCGAGCATGGGGTTGGACTAGATGATCTCCAAGGTCCTTTCCAGCTCTATTCTGATTGACTGATAGTGAAACAGCAGCACGTCTTGCTCAACATACTTCTGAGATGAACAGGATGTTGAGGGCTTCTAAAGATCTTTTTCAGAAGAGGCTGTTCTACATCCCCCACCAATCGGCTGTTCAGATGCCCCCAACTTGATTCCCCCATCCTGGCATGCTGGAACAATCCATCAAATGTCATCTTCTTACTGAGGACAGCAAACTAGTGGTTTGCCTAAAAGCCATTAGTGAGACTAGGATCAGCCCTGGAAGGCGTGAATGAAGATTAATCAGGTCTACACCAGGATGGATGCTTGGCCTGTAGAACCCTGAACAAAGACTGGTCATCTAGACCAGTGGTTCTTAACCTTTTTGAACGAATCGCCCCCTTGAGCCAATGAGGAAGTTGTCATCGCCCCCCTCCCCCAACATAACCTCTCAATCACAACATGGGAAATAATTCTTCGATTTATGCAAACCCTTTTTTTGTTTTCTTTAAAACTGTCATCAGGACATATCGATGCAAATAATTTATTTCCAGTCTTTTTCCCATATCTCCCATATTCTGGCCAATGGCGCGCCACTGTATGGGTAGAGGCTGCTGCGCAACGCGCATGAAGATAAGCGATGTGTGGTCACATATGTACGGCGTTCTGTACTGAAGCTAGCTGGAGGAACATTTGAAAACACAATTCAATCCACTAATAGCGAGCGATCTGATGTTTTTGTATGACAGATATACAGCCATTCACTGTACGAAAAGTCTCAAAAGTGTCCCCAAAACTTCTCGCTCCATCGCCCCCATATCGCCCCCTTTTCGTTCCTTCACCCCCGTGTCGCCACTTTTCGTTCCATGGCCCCCCCTGAAAAATGAAATCACCCCCTGGGGGGCAATATCGCCCAGGTTAAGAACCACTGATCTAGATCACATACAGAAATGGTCAAAGGTTTGCATAGCATGGAGCAGTATTTCTCAACGTTGACCACTTGAAGACGGCTGGGGAATTCTGGAAGTTGAAGTCCACCCATCTTCAATGGACAAGGTTGAGAAATATTGCTGTATAGCAAAAGTCAACCATACAACGAGCACACGTCTGGTCGAAGTGAGTTGAAATAAAGGAAGTATCTTTGGGACAACTGTGACCTGGATGACTGAGAATCTCCATAATTTAGTCTGTTGATGCTTCCAATGATGATCCTCTCCCTTCTCTTCTCTTCCAGGAGTTTCCCGTACTACGACCACCAGGTAGACATGATGCTCTGTGCACGTTTGCCAACCCTGCCGCCATCTTTCCCGTATATGAACCTTAAGTAAGGACTCCAAAACCTGGGTGCAAGACAACTGCCACCCACATGCATGTTTTGTTTGACTGAAAAACTAAGTTGGGTGGCAGCACTGATATTTCTGGGATGTGGTCATAACAGGGAGGAAACAGTCATAAGTCCCTTTTTGGGGGGGGGATATCGTAACTTCGAACAGTCATTAAGTGGATAGTTGTAAGTTGAGGACTAGATGTAGCTTGGAGTAATATTTACATGTATCTTGGTTGCTTGGTGTTAGGGCTGTCCTGTAAGTAGCTGACAAAGTACCAGATAGACCATCTTGGCCCTTTTGTGACTTGTGGACTTCAACGCCCAGAATTCCTATCCACCATTTTGATGAAACTGCGGGCTTAGATCCAGACCAGGGGTCTTCAAACTTGGCCCTTTTATGGCCAACTCCCAGAATTCCTCAGTCGGCCATTTTGATGAAACCACGGGCTTAGATCCAGACCAGGGGTCTTCAAACCTGGCTCTTTTATGGCTTGTGGACTTCAACTCCCAGAATTCCTCAGTCAGCCATTTTGATGAAACCATGGACTTAGATCCAGACCAGGGGTCTTCAAACCTGGCCCTTTTATGGCTTGTGGACTTCAACTCCCAGAATTCCTCAGCCAGGCATGTCACAAAAGGGGATCGCAGGACCCCAGGACATTGCGACCGTCATAAACATGAATTAGTTGTCAAATGTCTGAATTTTGATCACATGACCATGGGGATACCGCAACAGTCGAGGATTACCTATAGTTCCTTCTGTAGACCTCATCTTTGACCGGTCTGCTTGAGCAGGGGGTTGGACTAGAAGACCTCCAAGGTCCTTCCCAGCTCTATTCTGATTAGTTAGAAGTTCTGATCTAGGACTCCTCGCTCAATGTAAAAAAGATGTTTAGACTCTAGAAAGAATAGAGAGAAGAGCAACAAAGATGATTAGGGGACTGGAGGCTAAAATGTATAAGAAACAGTTGCTGGAATTGGGTATGTCTTGTTTAATGAAGAGAAATGATATAGGGTTTGGACTAGAAGACCTCCAAGGTCCCTTCTAACTCAGCTATTCTATTCTATTCTATTCTATTCTATTCTATTCTATTCTAGTCTAGTCTAGTCTAGTCTAGTCCATTCTAGTCTAGTCTAGTCTAGTCTATTCCTGTTCTATTCTAGTCTAGTCTAGTCTAGTCTACTCCTGTTCTATTCTAGTCTAGTCTAGTCTAGTCTAGTCTAGTCTAGTCTAGTCTAGTCTTGTTTAGTCTACTCTAGTCTACTCTAGTCTACTCCTGTTCTATTCTATTCTAATCTAGTCTAGTCTAGTCTAGTCTACTCCTGTTCTATTCTATTCTATTCTATTCTATTCTATTCTATTCTATTCTATTCTATTCTATTCTACTCTACTCTACTCTACTCTACTCTACTTTACTCTACTCTACTCTACTCTTAGGGTCTCCTAAATCACTTTGTGGTCTCTGTTATGTCCCGAGCCTTTGCAAACGGCTCGGGCGTTTGCAGGCAGTCCCGGGCAGGTGCAAAGCTGCCCGGGACCAGACAGGCTGTCGCCAGCGCCGTGCGCATGCGCGGGTGCTGGCGCGGGAAAAGTAACCCATTTACCCGGGAGTTGCCTATATAAGAGGCTGCGAGGCGTTTGGGCGAGGCTGAAGCCATCTTCCTGTAAGCTGAACGCTGAATAAAAGAAACTGAGAACTCCAGCTGCTTCTCGTGTCTGTTTTCCCGCCACGGACTCAACACTGGCGACGAAGGTGGGATGCCTTGCACTACCTGGAAAGGAAGAAGTGTAAGCTTACCCAAGGAGTCCTGAGCGGCGAAAGAGGAACGGCGTCGACTCGGCAGCTGCCCGCCAATCCGGTGCGCATTCGGGGGTAGGCTGGCTGATAGACCCATCTCCTGAAGATCCGAAGATGGCGAAAATCGGAAGGCTTTCGGAATTCGACGTCTCACATCCAGAGCGGTGGGAGTCCTACGTATCCAGAATGGAGAACTACTTCAAGGCAAACCAAGTGAGGGAAGATAGCTTGAAGGCTGCCACCCTGCTTTGCGTTTGCGGCCAAGACGCCTTCGAAATCGCAGAAAACCTTGCAGCACCTGTCCCAGTAGAGTCTGTAAGCTACGCAGACCTGAAGAAGCTGCTGAAGGAGCACTTCCACCCCAAGGTGTCCGTTATCTCATGGCGCCACATCTTCGAACAGAGGGATCAACGGTCCGGTGAGTCAGCCAAGGAATACATCGCCGCGTTACGGAAGGCCGCCAAGCCCTGCGAGTTCAAGGACCTCGAGGAACGACTGAGGGACCGATTCGTGTGCGGGTTAAGGCATCGAGAGCTACAACAGAGACTTTTCGCTAAGGAAGAATTATCCTTCCAAGACGCCTTAAGGGAAGTCACCGCAGAAGAAGCAGCAGGCGGCACCGTCAAGAACATGCGGCCGATCAGAAGCAGTGCAGAAGGTGCGTCCGTGCACCAGGAAGACGTCCGACGAAACTCCGAGGAGGATCCGGACGAGGAAGTCGACCGTCTACACCCCGCGAAGGAAGAAAACCAGAAGGGAAGCTCTTCGGCTCCGCTCAAGTGCATCGGCTGTGGAGGTCGCCACAGAAGAACCGACTGCAAGTTCCGCTCCGCTATCTGCCGGGCATGCGGCAAACAAGGGCACATTGCAGCTGTGTGTCTGGGCCGACGAAAGGCACAACCCCAAGAAGAACGCCTGAAGGGTACCAGATTCCCCAGCCAGAATAGGGTAGGTTTTTGCGCTTCGCGAAGAAGCATCTGTAGGACAGGCACACACAAGCCCATGAAGAAAAAGCTGTCACTCAACGTGAAGCTACAAGGGGTTCCATTATCTATGGAACTAGACACAGGGTCTGCCCTTTCCATCATTTCATTGCATACATTTAGGAAGATTTGTTCCAGTAGTGGGACTAAGGCCAAGTTAAGGCCTTCTGATATTGTATTAACAGATTTTCAGAACTCAAGAGTGTGTGTTAAGGGGGAGGCCACCCTTAACGTGCAATACAAGAGTTTTGAAGGTCCACTAGACTTATTAGTAGTAGGGGGTGAACGAACGAGTCTCATAGGACTCGATTGGTTTGAGGCCCTGGGGATACACATCACAGGACTCAACAGCTTACAAACACTCGACCTACAGGAAGTCTGCAAAGAATTTGCAGATGTTTTCAGCCCCCAGCTGGGCACATTCAAAGGACCACCTGTGTCCTTAAAGCTAGACCCCACTGTCACTCCCATTAGGATTAAAGCAAGAAGGGTCCCTTTTGCTTTAAAAAGTAAGATTGACACTGAATTAGACAAACTAATCCAACAAGGAATCCTAGAACCTGTTGATTCCAGCCCGTGGGAGACCCCCATTGTCACGCCTCTAAAGGCAAATGGGGACATTCGCATTTGTGCTGATTACAAATGCACACTCAATAAGGCATTGCAGCAACATGCCTATCCTGTTCCTGTGGTCAGTCACATCCTGGCCTCTCTCAAGGGGGGGCGTGTTTTTGCAAAGCTTGACCTAGCTCAAGCATATCAACAGCTGCCTGTTGATGATGATGCTGCCATAGCTCAGACCATTGTGACCCACAGGGGAGCCTTTAAGGTAAAAAGGCTACAGTTTGGAGTGAATGTCGCTCCTGGGATTTTCCAAAGCGTAATGGAAAACACACTACGAGGTATACCAGGGGTCTGCCCCTACTTTGACGATGTCTTGATTGCAGGAGACTCCACACACATTCTAGCTGAAAGGCTTAGGGCTGTTCTGTTAAGATTCAGGAAATCAGGCCTCAAGCTCAGAAAAGACAAATGCAAGATTGGGGTGCCTTCTACTGAATTTCTGGGATTCAAAATTGATGCTGCTGGGATTCATCCTGCTGAATCCAAACTAACTGCTATTTTAGAAGCACCCAGGCCAAAGTCTAAGGCCGAACTTCAGGCCTTCCTAGGCCTCCTGAATTTCTACAATTCTTTTCTTCCACATAAAGCTAGTGTAGCTGAGCCTCTTCACAGGCTACTAGACAAACAAGCTGTGTGGCTGTGGTCACAAGCACATGAGGCTTGCTTTAAAGAAGTCAAGGCCTTGCTCACTTCTAACAGTGTTCTTGCACATTTCAACGAGTCTCTTCCTGTGTGCATCGCTTGTGATGCGTCCCCCTACGGGGTTGGAGCTGTCCTGAGTCACCTCAGGTCTGATGGAACTCAGGTTCCTATTGCATACTACTCCAGAACACTGTCTTCTGCCGAGCGCAACTACGCTCAGATAGACAGGGAGGCTCTGGCTGTTGTTGCTGGAATTAAAAAATTCCACGATTTTCTATATGGCAGGCATTTCACGGTCTTCACTGACCATAAGCCCTGCTGGGACTGTTTACCACACGTAAGCAGACTCCCCACATCATTTCCCCTAGAATGCTTAGGTGGTCTATTTTTTTGTCTGCATATGATTTTTCATTACTCCACAAGCCTGGGAAAGAAATGGGCCATGCTGATGGCCTCAGTAGGTTGCCTCTGCCAGTAGTAGAAGCTGACCCCGCGCCAGCTGTCAACATTCTATCAATCCAAGCCTTGCCCGAGCTCCCTCTTAGTGCCAGGGATGTTACCGCTGAAACAGGTACAGATCACACACTTTCACGTGTCCGCTCCTGGGTCCTGTCCGGGTGGCCTGAGCACTGCCCTAGTCCTGAGTTTCAGAGTTTCTGGTCCAAAAGGAACGAACTGTCCCTTTCTCAGGGTTGTCTGCTTTGGGGAAACAGAGTTGTCATTCCCACCTCAATGAGGACTAGGGTCTTAGAATCCCTCCACGAGGGTCATCCTGGCATTGTTCGTATGAAGGCTCTTGCACGCAGCCACTTGTGGTGGCCTGCTTTAGATAAAGATATTGAGGCTAAGGTACACGCATGCCACCTGTGCCAACGATCTCGCCCAGAGATGCCCCAAGCTCCTGTGCATAGATGGGAGGAAACACAGTCCCCATGGTCTAGGGTGCACA